ATGGATGTGTACCATATGATGGACATGTACCATGTGATGGACGTGTGCCATGTAATGGATGTGTACCATATGATGGACATGTACCATGTGATGGATGTGTACTACATGATGGATGTGTACCACGTGATGGATGTGTACCACGTGATGGATGTGTACCACGTGATGCTAAGCACTTCAGAAACACTACTTTATGTGGTTCCACTGTGCTATGAAATTTACACTGAGAGGAATTCTTTCCACTACTGCATTCTCTCTCCCTTTTACAGAGAATGACACTGAATCCCAGAGAAATTAGGTAACTTGGCCTGGGGTCACACATCTAGGCAGTGGCAGGGCTGGAATACAAATGCAACTCTCACTCCCAAGTCCCCTTCCCCCCATTCCTCACCATGTGCTATGCTGTTCATAGCAAATTTTCCCTTCTCTTTCCCTCAGTAGCAGCCAGAATAGAAGAGAAATAAGAAAAAACTAGGGCAGAGGGTGGAGTGATAGTTGGAAGGAAAGCAATGAGTGGTTCCTATAAAAAGAAGCCAGATTAAAGGTAGCCAGATAAATTGCAAGGTGACTTAGACAAACAAACAAACATGATTATATCTCTTACATCTCTTTCTCTTTTCTTCAGTTAGATCACATTTCTTTCTACCGTATGCTGACAATCGCTTCCTGGGTTGTTCTCTTGGGCCCTGTTTTAGTTACATAGCTTCAGTAAATCAACCGCCAGGTCTCAGGTCTTGCTCCCTGTAATGTAAGCTGCTAAATTACTGCTATCACATGCCCCTTTGACCTTGTTCTCTGAAGAGTGGCCTCTCCTAGCAGAGTGCGATGACTTCTCTTCCTCCCAGAGATAGTCTTATCTCCAGGAAGCCCTGTGCCCCATGCGCTGGTAACTTAGGGGATCTTTGTAAGTTCTTGATGCAGGCGTCCCTCTTAGAGGTCGCAGCCACTCTTGATTTGCATAGATTAGTTTCTCAGCTGGAAGAGGAACAGCCTAAGATGGAAGCTTTTAGGATGGAGAGGCATGGGCACATTCACTGTGTGGAAGAAGAAATTTCTAGTGGAAAAATAAGGAAGAAAAGCAATTCTTTATCTATTTAGAGCTCAGCTATGCGGCTATTTCACTTCCCGAAATGTAGCTGAGGTCCGGGAGGTATGTCAAAGAGATCCCTGAAGTCCCTGAGAGAAGACGAAGCCTGCACTCGCCAGAAAGGCGGCCTTTAGCCCTTTATTCTTCTGAGCAGGACCATGAAAAGTTAGAAGCACCGAATCTAAGGGGAGAGGTAGGAGAAGACACCTTGATGGCAGCACATGGTCCTTCAGATTAGAGATTTCTGCCAGTGCACCACGGTGATGCTAGCCCAGAAAGTCAGGTTGTGGAAGCAACGCGGACACTTTTCTTAAATCTTACCTCGTTTATAGTTAACGCTTTGTCTCCTTGGTCCCTACCTGGCTTCTGACTTCTGCTGTGGCCTCTCGATCTGAAATCCCACTTTGGGCTTGCTGGTCTCCAGCATTCCGTTTGCCCTCAGCTGCCACTTGGAGTCTTTACAGTCTTCAGTAAGAGAAGTCCCTTCTCTACTCCCAGCACAGAAACTGAATTATGCAGTGTCTTGAATTATGACGGTGGGGCTAACTTACATTCAGGAAAACAAACACAGTACATTTTAGAGGATTTCATATTCCAAAGTTTTGAAATACTATTTTGAAGAAAAAAATGTTTTTTATTTAAATCAGCAGTTCATAACCTGTGGGTTATGACTCACAGGAACTGTATTAAAGGGCCATGGCATTAGGAAGATTGAGAACCACTGGATTAAATGGATAGATCTTCAGCTATTTGGAAAGTACGACTGTTCAGAAAAGTAGGCAGACTCTGATGTTTCCAGATGCCCTTTGATGACTGGATCACTTGATACACAGCTGGCATTCCACTCCCGAGGAAGGGGGCGTGACTGTGAAGAGGTTCTCAGGGTGTTAGGAGAGTCATATGGATTCATTAGGGTCCCTGAGGACATGGACTTTCAGCACATACCTGTGCCCGTGTGGAATCCAGGGCGAGCTTTTACAGAGACTGACCGTGCTTCCCTTTGAGGACGTTCTCATCTTCCCTGGAAAGGAAATGGAGAGTTAGTTGCCTCTAGACCAGTGGTTCTCACTTTCCTAATGCCTCCTAATGCCACGATCCTTTAATACAGTTCCTCACGGTGTGGTGACCCC